CCAGTGAGAGGGATGATTCTTGTTGACAACAGAGCTCATATCACCCAGGGTGTAAACGGGACATTGCAGAAAGGGAACATACCATAATATGGATGCCATCATTAAAAGCTGTGAGAAGACTCTTCTTAGCATGAAGCACAGAAACATACAGTATTGTACAACACTGCATGTACTGTAGCACAAAATACAGAGCCACATGGTGCAAAGACCTCCATCTCTCCAGTACATGCACCATTTCCACAGTTTGCAGCTTGTACATGACACCTGTATAAACCTTGCTCAAGGTTGAGGAATAATAGCTTTGTGCGATCCTAATATGATTTCATGAATTTGCTCTTATCCAGTCTGAGCAGTCAAATTAGTAGGCCTCTATATAAAAACAAACAAATTTCTCCCAAAGCCAGAAAAGGTGAATACATCCATAAACTTGGAACCACCAGGCTGTTTACCCTCTTGGTTTTGGCTCCCATCAGGAGTGGAGAATGTGCCAATCAAATCAAATCTGCATGAAACAACAGCTCCCTGGCCAGCATGACACAGGTGATTTCATGCCACTTTCAAGTGACTCCTGTAGAGGGCAATTTAAGGGGAAAATCCAATTAAAAAGAGGCGCTGTCTTTTATTCAACCCCTGATAAACATGTAATACTCACATTTTGGCCTCTGTAATCTTTCTACATCTGTCCAAAAGCCTCCCAGACCATCACAGTTTCCTTTTAAAGACGTGAAATTAAAAATAACTGCCAAATATTAAGTATTTTTACTTGCTTTTATTCAAAGTATTTTGTGGAGAAAAAGGCTTTTGGTTAGGATTTCAGTGGCTACAAATGGTGCAAGAATAGACACCCATTTATTTATACGTTAGCAGGAGTTTGGGACCCACAGCTTCCAAAAGTTTAGTGACTTCATATGTAGTAACTTTGTGCTACAATACCACAGAAGCATCCTAATGATTGTGATTTTAACCTTTGGAGAAATCCATAATTTTTGACAGCTCAAGATGAATAATGTTTTGTCCAATACATCTGAGCAGTTGTGTGACTGATTACAAACAGCCTGGTTAAATGTCATTGTCAGTTATTAATGGGAAACGAGATTAAGCGAATGAACAACTGTGATACAGTATTTAATTTAGGTAAATCCAGATGGACTGGTTGAGTAGAGGTGAGGCTGTAAATCTTAGGACAGCGCAATTTTAATATCCCTTCATGCTAAGAGCGATTTTCTGGGGATGGGGAAACATATTTTGGCTCATAACTAATAAACAGTTTAAAAATGAAGGAGAGTTCCTTATGCACCTCAAGCATTTGTATAAAGTCACAAAATAAGGATGACATGCATATTTGTGTTTCTTTTTTGGGGGGAGACTCCAGCTTTTACTTCTGATGACATCATAGGTGTGGGAGTTAGCCCCCTGGTTTGTGGCCTCCAATAAATTCTCCTCCAGGGTTAAAGTAAGTAACTAAATGGAGTGACTGATTATTGAATGAGCAGATATACATTTGTGAGTCAGGACTCAGATTCAGACTTATTCACTGCCCAATCAGATACACAGGCGCCTCAGAGGATTCTATTTCTGCACCACACGGAGCTCTACTGCCATCTAGTGGCTTTTAAAAGTAAATTCAGGTTTGGAATTATTACTAAAGTGATATAAAGGTAAATGCTGTAGGGATGGAAGAAATTCAGATTATTTACATGAGTAAAAGTAATACTTCAATAATTGATTGTAGTTCTGAAGATTTTATTTATTCTCGAATTTAATTTTATATTTTGAAGCCAATCAGAAAACAGCACATTGCATCAGGATTATGAAAAAGTCATGTTTGTTTTATTCTTGATATAAGTTGAACTGAGAACAGGTTCAAATAATTCTATTAAGTGGAAAAAATGTATACATAACTTGGAGGACTTATTCTGAGACTAAAAGGAGTTTTTTCACTGTAGATGGAAAATATACAAAATAACCACAGTAACTACAGCTGTCAGATAGTTGACTAAAAGGTAAAATAGCTCCATCTAGGATATAATACAGTAGAAGTATTTAGCTGCATAAAATGTAATTACTCATGTAAAGTACAAGCACCTCAAACTGTACTTAGAGTACGCTATATTAGTTGAACAAATGTACTTACTTTATATCCCTGTATGGAAACCATGGATAGATTATAAGACTGTGGCTGCCCACTGGCACAGGAATGTAAAACCCCTCAGCTGTCTGTTAGAGATACATACATATAGATACAGTGGGTACGGAAAGTATTCAGACCCCCTTAAATTTTTCACTCTTTGTTATATTGCAGCCATATGCTAAAATCATTTAAGTT